TGGTGCATATAAGAAATATGTGATAGCGGAACATTTCTGTATTATACCAAATATCAGATTGACGATAATTTCGTCATTAAAGACGAATTTTTTTGTACTATGCTTGCGCATACTTGTTTCCGCAAATATCTTCGCAAATGTCCTTTGCGTCATTTTGCGTTACAGATCCCTTATTGCGAAAAAATGTTTTGCTCATACCCTGAGAGTTCGTCTCAACGCGAACGAGGCGATGAGACCACTCATAAAACAATCATTTCGCCATCCGCTGGCACGACTCGCATGTGGAACATCGGTAATATATTGGATATTATTGCAAAGAGAGGGACGCGTTATGAATCCACGGAGAGAAGCACGAAAGATTGATAGTCCGAGTGATGAGCAATCGCTAATCATTTTTTTCAAAGTTGTCTAAATTAATCCGGAATTTTGAAAAAAAATTTTTATAAATTGGTTTTTAGGTAACGAAATGTGCAAAATAACTCGCAAAAAAATTAACGATTTACCATGTTGAGGAATATTTTTTCACATCAATTGGCTACGTTAAACCGTCGTATTTATGTACATGAAGTGCATTGTGTTAATCTATTTCATGTAGTATATAAATGTTGATTTTTCCACAGAGGAAAAAGAATTAACTTTTAATTTTATTTATGAATGAAATTCTAGCCATTGCTTTCCAAATGTAATTTTTGCGCCAAATGTACTGTAAAATGTTAAAAATATTGTACAGCTTATATTATGATGTTGCGCATGTGTATTTTTAATTAAATGTACGTTTAGCATGTGCGAATCGCCTATTTGTAAAACGGTTACAAATTGCATTGTCAAGTAATAAAAAGTTTGTAACATTTTAATTATTCGTTTCAACAGAAGTTTGTGACCGCATATGACTTATGCATTCTAAACGTTTTTCTAATTCTATTCCACGATCTTTATGTCAATCTTGCATTTCCATTTATGTTTCAAATTCCGTGGTTTGTATTCCTTAATCGATTAACTTAGATTCCCACGTCGCACGCGGTTACTGCAAAAGAGAGCATTCAAGCGAGAACTTACAAAGAGTGCAATGTTTGACCGTCGAAAAGGGTCTGAAAGCCTTTTTTTCGCTCGCCGCATCATGCCTCGGTATCCCCAAGGAAAGTTAGTATACTCGTTTTCGCGACCTTCGTCATTTGCTCCCTTCCTGGCTATCCTCTCTCGCATGGAAACTTTCCTCTCGGTCGTTCCAACACAGAAGCAGCCTTTTTTCTTCACCTGAAACCCCCGAACAAATGCATCCCACGTGAGGTGTTTTTTCTCTGCTCCGGAACACATCAATCTCCCTGCGCGAGCTGGCCTATCCCGCGTTCGACGGCGGCGAGGCGGCTTTCTCGAGGCTTTTAGTCGTCGGGTGTGCTATATATGCTGACAGAATGTTTTGGAAACGAGCAGATATTCTACTAATGATAGATAAATATACTGGTGTTAATTAAACACGTGTAGATAAAAATTCAAATTAGATAAAAGCTAATATTCTTACGATTAATTATACATGCCACAAATACACGAAACGGATACAAGCATATACTAATATATTAATTTTTTTCTCGTATTTTAAAGTTGAAATTTTACGTTTATACGAATTAAAGAGAACTGCTTAATTACTTTTACATTATTATCATAATATCGCCATCGTGTCATAATAAGCCCGCCGTGCGCAAATAATAGCGGGAAACATTTCGCAGAGGTTTCATCGTTACGAAGAGACATACTTTCAAAGTCTCCTTGCATCATTCCTCAAGAGCTTGTCAACATTCATCTACGACGTCTCTGGCCTTCCTGAGTACTCGACATGCACTCTCATAAGAGCGCATCCACCGTTAAATAAGTCTCTCTCTTGTACACGAGGCCGAGAAGAGACGACGAGTAAAACTTATATTAAACCTTAAAATTACCCGAGGTCTTACAGAAATTTCTCCCGAGATTGCGCTTATAAATTTTCCGCCAAATTTCGGCGCTTTTACGAAGGGGAAGCTTTCGCAAACACTGTATCCATATTCCAGAAATTATGCCGACGATATTGCATCGTCCCCCCCAGATTGCCTGTTTGTTTTACAGAAATGTTTAAATATGACGTATTCGTATGTCTCTCGAAATATCGAAGCGACGAATTTTCAGATTAAATTTACGTGACGTATATGATTAAATTTATGTATACATCTAATATCAATTTGACTTTCGTCGTTTTCATCATTGCCAACTGTTACGCTCCGCTCTCTCGTGAAACTGCATTCTGACTCTCTCATTCTTTCTCGAGTTCATCAAAATGCACCCACAAGCTCCTTGTTCTTCGTGGATCTCAACGGGTACTCTCGTAAAAGCGTTCGCCGTTAAACAAGTCCTCCCTCTAACGTCGAAGTACGCAGGGGCTCGCGGGATAACGAGACTTTTGAGAGTCCTCGACATTAAAAGGCGTATCTCGTACGCGACGTGAGGCCGAAGTAGATGATGAGCAGGCACAGAGCGCGACAGAATATTTACCGTTATATCAGAGTTAGAAATCCCCGATAATAGAATTGGCGGAAATTTGCCAGGTTCACTATTTGCCCGTCCGATCCCTTGATTTCTATTGGTTTACTGATTGCCTTCGCGTTGTGAGAATTTTAACTATCGACCGGTCCTGAAACACCGTACGCGAAACTTACGGGTAAAGTCTCAAACGAAGCCAATAGTAGGAAAAGAAGATTTCTTTTCTTCACTTCCGAGAAAATTAGATCACTCGCAGAAGTAATCACTTTAGATTTTTTTTTTCAGCGAGGATCTTAACAAGTTAAAGACAAAAACATGTTGGAAATATAAAAAAAAATTGTTTTTCTCCTTCTGTGCAGTTTTTTTTTACGTATCTCTATTGTACGATAATTCCTGCAAACGAGAGAGAATATGGTATAAATCCACAGTTTCTATATACGGATAAGAATTATTCGAAATTAATGGCGGAAATTAGCAGCGAAAACAGTGCAAAAGCGTTTAATTACAGCTGAAACACCAAAAACGTGTTAAATATCTCTCGTTTGGCATTACTGCTTTCCTCTCTGGCGGAGTCGTTAGTTTTTAATCGTCGGAACAAGCGCACGATGCATCGTGGCACATCGATGCGTACGAGCCCGACCCTCATCCTCGCGCGGACGCGCGCGTATCCTCGTTCGCGAAAGATAAATAACGCGAAAATCGCATTTGGCAACCGTCCAAAATACGAAACACCCCGTCGCTCGACGAGGGAGTTGTGCGTATTAAATTCACGGGGCTCTCTTCCAAATTCCCACGGCCGCCACCCCGGATCATTTAAATCCCTTTTCAGCTAGTTAAAATACCGCGCGTATTTCCGAGGGGCTGCGGGAAAATTATTTTACACAAGCGCGGTGGGAGATGTATGGAGATTTTCGGTTTCATTTTCATGCGAGGGCGTATGTGCGCGTCACGCATGCGGTGCGTCTAAATTTTCTACAGAACGGTGGCCCGACTTAATTATTTCAACACGAGACCCTCGAATTTGCTGCGTGGGGATAATGTAGAATTGTAGATTGTAGATGTATAAAGTCGGATTTGTGTGCCACATGTGGAACTCAGATTTTTTTAATTACTAGACGGCAAAGAAAAGGATAAAATTGTACATTTAACAGATAAGCAAAAATATATTTTCTTTTATTCTTTATTTTTAAATTCAAGTTTCATATTATTGTTATTTTATTACATGCGATATGATAATTAGTGTATATATTTGTCTTGCAAATTTTTATGACAAATGTCTTGCGACATTTTTCAGACAAATTTAAAAAATAACCTTGTTGTGAATTTTGTACAACGATACATCTTGATAGCTTGCTTATCTTGCTCTTCTTTCCCACCAGTTTTATATTAATGTTGCTGAGAATATACCGCCAGACACTGTCTGAGTAGCTCCGAGCGTTAAAGCCTTTGAAAAGGATCTCAATGGTATTCAAATCATTTCAAAGGAGATTACATCTTGTTACTTCGTAAAAGGATGCAACATCATATGACTGACACACGGCGGTATTACGTGAAATTTTCCCTCTTTAGAGAAAATAGCCGTGAAATTGAGGTTTATATTTCGTATTTCCTTGTAAGAGCAAAAAAAGGTCCGACGACTTCCGTAGCCGGGTAATTAAATGACTTTCTTCTAATAACAAACCATTATTTTGATCTCTACGTGTTTAACACAATTGCGAATGTAATTTTCTAACAGTCGTCGTATTGTTCGTGTAACTGCCCCATCGCACGGATTATCTCTATTTATTGACATAATATACGAGAAGCGGGCGAAATGAGAGCCAGACGCGGTAAATGGTGCGCAAAAGTTCTTTAAATTTTAGAATAACGTTTGATAATTCTGTGTATTATACATATTTAAATCGAAACGATTTAATTAGGCAGGAGGGAGAGTATTTTACTACTCCAATCAGAACTGTGTTGCAAGTCTGACAATTTAGTCGGCGCATAGCTTACTAAGGTTGGAAAATAATGTAATAGAATTATTAGACGTTATTTTAAAATTTAAAGAACTCGCGCATTATTTATCGCGTCTGTGTGGCTTTCATTTAACCTACTTCTCTTATATTCATGAATTTCCAAAAGAGCCAATGGCCCATATTCTCAACTCTCTTTTATTGATAAAAGCGCACTTTTATTTCTAAAATGCTGTAGCATATGTAACGTGAACTGTAGCATCTCAGAAATAAAAGCGCGCTTTTATCGATAAAAGACAGTTGAGAATATATTTGGACAGTTGGGCCTATATATTTCCAATTTATCGATATAAGTTTGTTATTTCAGTTATCGTGCATAAAACTCAGTCCGGTTTTAAGATTAGCCAAGACATTAGATAAAGAGTGGAAGGGATAAAATGTAATCAGTCGCGATCTTCGTGTAGAACAACTTTACGTACATAATCACAGATATCGCTTTATAGTATAGATAATATAATCGAGCAATACATTTTTATTTTGCGCTTATCTCAGTTGTGTTGCTAATCAAAGCAGTGACCACTCTCATTCCATCGATCGAACATTCGTGATGTGTGCATTTAAACAAACTTAAATTTTTGAAAATTTGTTTAAAAAATTAGGAGATAGTGAAATTATAGCGCAGATGGGTGTATATCACGAATAGTGAACAGTGAACAGTTACGTCATTCTGTATCAACTCCTCCGAATTTTTTCCCCCCACGACCGAGATTGTTTTAGATATCGCAATGAAGATTAATGATTCAAATACCAAAGTTAAGTTGCGTCTCAGGCAATCGATGACAGCTCTGGGACCATTGTTGGGCGTCTGCGTGACCGGTATGTCGAGCGGCTACAGCGCGATTCTTCTGCCGCAGCTGAAGACAATTTCGACCAATGACAGTGAATCTTTATCTTCCGAATCTGCGAGCGCGGATCATTTCGGAGCGCTCAGCATCGACCAGGAGTCGTGGATCGCGGCAGCCGTGACTCTGCTAGTAGCCCCGGGATGTTGGACCGGTGGATTCGTGGCGGAAAAACTCGGCAGAAAGACGTCAGTGACACTACTGTTTCCCGTCTATTTTATCAGCTGGCTGATTATCGCCCTCGCCAACAGCATAGACGTTTTGATAGCGGGCAGACTTCTCTGTGGGTACTGCGCCGGAGTCTTGGCGCCCATATTTTCGATCTACCTGAGTGAAACGACCGATCCTCAGTTACGTGGCGTTCTGCTGGGGGCAACCAGCTTGACCCTTTCGGCCGGTATATTGGCGTGTCACGCAATGGGAACTTGGCTGCATTGGCGAACCACCGCGTACATTAGCGGCGTGTTGCCCGTAATCTGTTGGATCCTCTGCGTCTACTCGCAAGAGAGCCCGTTGTGGCTACTGGGTAAAGGCAAGATCGAGAATGCGAGGCGCTCCTGGATATACCTCCGTGGTGAGGAGTCACTCGAGGAGTTCTCCCTGCTGGAAACCGACAGGCTCGCGGAAATATCGGCGAAGAGAATCGAGAAACGGTCGTTGCTGCGCTCGTTCAGGAAGACGTGGTCCTCGCGCAACTTCCTGATGCCTTTCAGCATCGTTTGCCTGTATTTTTTCATCATGCAATTCTCAGGCACCAACGTGATGACTTTCTACTGCGTCGAGATGTTGACGGACGTCTCCGGCCCGGCTTACGCGTACCTGATAACGCTGATCGTCGACGTGATTCGTCTGATATTCGCCGTTCTCGTGTTCGTTTTTCTGAAAATATGCCGCAGGCGCACCGTGATGCTTATATCCGGCTTCGGCGCGGCTATCACCATGCTATCTTTAAGCGCGTGTCTGACATTTGACATTGGAAGACCCTGGAGCCCCATGATTCTACTCATCACTTACGTCGGCCTACTGTCAATGGGATTGTTTTTCTTACCCTGGATGTATTGCGGCGAACTGTTCTCGAGAAAACACCGTGGGTTCGGTTCCGGATTAGCGACCAGCTTCAATTTCGCGTGTTTGTTCGTGGTGATCAAGACGATGCCGCTTATGATGGAATTTGTAAAGCCCGAAGGTACATTCGCCGTTTACGGTACTGTGGCGTTGGTCGGGACTAGTGTTTTGTACTTCATTCTTCCTGAAACCAAGAACAAAACCTTGCAAGAGATTCAGATGTCTTTTGGCAAAGAATTTCACGCACCGCAAGCACAAAGCGCGGACGTACCACTCCGCGAGCGTGTTTCTTTTGAGAAAAACAACGGATTGGATAAGGAAATGCCGCTTGATAAATGACGATCATTTAATGAGCAGATGTTACAGAATATGATATGTATTTTTATAAGTAGGTATGTGAATATATTGTGATAATTCATAAATTTATGTACGACGTGAATAGCATTCGTAGATTTTAATTTAGTATAAAAATAAATTGCTATTTTTTCGGTTACTTTCTTAAAAAAAAGCGTGCTGTTTTGGCATGTGATATCAAGTAAACATATCTGCATCAAACATTATATCCTTTCTTTCTGCTGTTGTTGAAAAATTAATGCAATTTATAAATTAAAACTTGGATGTTGAGATTAGCTTGCGGCATAATGATGTATTTGACTGCGCTACCGCAAGCAATGCCGTACAAGCGACGACGCGACGCATTCTTCCGGCCGGATATATTTCGGTCGTGCCGTAAAATTAACCGATGCGTCCGAAATAATGACTCCTGCGGCCGTCGGGACGGAGCGGCGAGTGCAATAGAAATTTAACTGCGAGCCTTGCCGGCATGACGGACCGTAAAATTGCGTTCTCACGTGATTATTGCTCGGACCACTTACCGCAGCTGATGGAAATTACGGTTCGTCCCGGCGGTTCTCGCGTGACGTTTAGCGGCCCGCGCAATGACTTAGGCGCGTACGCGAGTAAAATATGATGGCGGTGCTGTCGGGGTTATTAAAATGCGAGGAATCCTGATTCATTGCCCCCCTTCGTCGAGATTTCAAGGCGACGAAGATAAAGATTGTTTCCCGTTTCCGGAAAACGTTCCGGAAACGATAGATATATTTACTACCGCATCCTAATACATACGTGATAGATATTATAGTTTCTCAAGAGGAATGACACGATTTCAATTTTAACTCGTATTGTTTTTTGCGTCGCACGAATCTTTATGATCGCCAATCGAATAATGAATTCAATCTTACCTTTATATTGGACTAACTTTTATAGTTGCCGTTTTTATTTTACAATAATTCCTAGATCCTTCAGATACCATTCTTCCTATCGGTATGATTTCAATCTCGAAGCGTCAGAGGTAAGCGCAATAAAGAATCACGCTAAACTCCAATGGTTTTTCTCTTTTTAATTTCATCCCCAATCCTAACTCATTACCCTCTTTTCTTCAGCCATGCTCTTACTTGGATCGCTTCGGCGTTGATTATCGCAAGCACGCAAAGCGGTCGTTACGTTATCCTTGCTTCTCTTTACTATAACCATTTTCGATCAGTAGTCTTCTTCGCGAAACTCAATTCCCCGGCGAAATATTGGTCGGAAATTTTGCGACGGCAAAATGTCATTCATATTGCAGCAACACAGTCTTTTTCTTTATTTTTTTATTGCAGTTTTATGTGTTAAATAAAAAATTGAATTATATATATATATTTTTGTATATATATATATATATATATATACTTATAAATAGTTTATCTTCAACTATATACTTATGGATATTGGAGACGAACACGTAAGTTTCTGCCGGAAAAAGAAATCTGGCAATTTGATTTCACGATCGACAGTGACTGAGAATGAAAAGTGGGCGATATCAAACGTGATTTATGACGATAAGGACAATCTCGGCCCAATTTCCCACGCGCGACGTGCCTGAACTGCATATAATCTTCATGAATGCGTAATGACCCGTCGTGCGTCCTCTCCCGTGCGGCCCATTCAGGAAGGTCTCGTGTAATGGAGGGGAATAAAAACTTGGTGGTCCCTACGCGATAGCGCCGCGCCAATGGCGCTTTTTGCGCCGACGATGAAGCACTTCAGACTTCCCTTCGATCTACCGCCCTGAGGAGCTTAACGGTGGAAAATGCAGTCGAGCGAGAATGTTTAGCACTCTCGATTTGAAACGACATTCGTACTGATTCAGGTCGAGTCTCGCTATATAGTCATCATATTATAAATATATACCGCCAGCTCAAATGTAAAAGGTATTGGCTATTGCAAAGTGCTACGTGAATTTTTGGTATCTTCAACGTGTACGCAACACGAATAATAGAAAACTCACTAGGTAACGTAATATGAAATTAATAGAATTTGTTTCGAAAAGTGAAATTATTGAATCAGAGAAAAAAAATAAAATATTGCGGATTAGAAAATGTTTTTATATTTATGTTTGTATAACTGTATCGTTTTCGATACCAAACATCAAATATCGTTCGCAAATACAGGTAAATATAACAATAAAAATATATGTTAACTTCCGTAACGAAAAGTGATTTTATTATTTTTTCATATTGCAGCAGCTCTCGAAAAAAATATCAAAAAATTGAACGAATATTTGTTGTCACAAATATTCGTGCAATAATAATTTTGAACTAACGCGAAGCTCGTGCGTGTAATCTGGCGCGGTGGCAAAAATGCGAGAGGATGATTCGGTAGCGAATCTATACCGGTAAACAAAAACAAAAATGTAACACCATAATTCAACGAACGCGCGCGCGCGCGTCTCGCGTGAGTTTTATATACTTCATAAGCATTCCTCATCATTGTTCTGCGTTTGCGGTCGAGACATGACATCTTGTTCGACGTTACGCATTTGCCGCGCGACGCGAAGCGATTAGACAGCAATTATACTTTTATGTCTCGGCCAACGCGCCATCGCCAGCGTAGGAAACGTAGATCAGAGTTTCGAAAAATTTAGGTGGTTTCTGTCCCGCTCGGCGCAATAAAGCGCAACTCCATTTGCATTAAATTTTTCAAATGCCGCTGTAAGCGGTACTTTTTATCGCGACATCGCGCCACGGTCGCATCGCTTAAAGCGTAACCGCTGTTTATGCGACGGGTTTTTTTTTCCAAGAGGTGTACGCTTTGTCCGGCTTAATAAATCGTATTTGCGACCATTTGTAGCGCAATCCCTGTAATCGCGGGCTTCTTTTTGACGTATGTTTCGCGCGGGGCTAATAAATTGCGATTATGTGTGCCCGGTTCTTCTTCCACAGCCGCTATCTTTCGTACATGATTTTATAATTGTAAAATTCATTGTTTCATACGATCTGTCAATACGTGCCGTGTCATTAATTTTTTTTTTTTTTTAACAAAATTATTCGATGTTCGCGAGATGTTTTACCAGACGTTGAAATTCAAAGAGAAGCACCTCAGTCGCGTATCCGCAGTTGTCATTTCCGATGAGGAACTCAAACTCTCTCTGATATCATTAGAAAATTTATACGAACTGGAGGACAAAACGTTGATTAAATCCGGGTTTTCAGCAGGGGAGTTCGCGACTCTCTGACAAAATTGAAGGAGCGATCTCCAGACGCTGCGAGTAATCGCGGAATGAGGTGGTCTCTGCGAAAGAGAAAAAGAAGATGGAATTTTATCAAGTTCTAGGAATCCACTGACAGCGGTGGGGAAAGAAAGTAATGGAAGGGTAGCGGTTCGCACTCTTTGGAGCTAAGGAGCGGGAGATAAAGGTTGACCGGTTTATCTTCGAAACAGGAAGGAGACGTTATCCTACATCGGCGAGAGAGAAGGAGAGGAAGTTTTTATTTTAAATTAAATTAAATCTTTATCGTCCGTCGTCTTTTGTTATTCTGCGTGACGTTATTTCTTCGCGCTCCATATAGCTTTCGTGATTATCTCCATTAGCAATTAGAGTTATTTCGAAATAAATTCTTTCCTACATTTGCCTATTTTTCTACGATTGTTACGTATGTTTTATCTTCAATTTGATTGGACTTAAAAAAACGATAGATTCAATATTCTGACGCAATCGCCTCAGGAGTAAAGCAACATATTTTTAAATATTTTTGAACGTGAAAGAAATACAAATATTACATTGAAATGGAGATTAAAAGCGCAAGCGGAGCAAAAGAAATAACAGATCTTTCACTAAAACGAGAAAACTAAACTCGACGATTTATCCTGACGTTGCTCAACGACGAGATCAACTCTACTTTCAGCCGCTAACGAAAATGTCGTTCCTCGCATCAGTTCTGCTTAAGAGCCTGGCAGGATGATAAAAACGAACTGGATTTTCCCGAGACCTCTTTTCCTCTCCTCGCTCTTTTCTCCGCGCTCCCGTGGCGGCGCCTGCGGTGGCAATAATTTGCAATTTTTGTGAAACGTATACGAAGGCCGGAGGTAACGTCGGAATCGACTTTAGGAACAACACTCTGAAAGTTTCGCGGACCGTAATGATGCTGTTTGCCATAAAGTCGCAAGTTAACCGGCAGCTAACAAAGTTGCCAGTGTTCTAAATATGACGGCGAAGTGGTGCGACTTTGTTGTGTTGCCTCCTCTTAATGTCGTTATTAACTTTTCTACGGTATAGTTTTTATAACAATTGCTTAACGTATCGTTAGTTTAATGAGGAATTATTGTAACTATATATCGATTATGCTTCTCTTTGGAAATCTCTATAGTCTATGGAATTTTGTAATTCAATTATAAAAATAGACATGCAATAATTGTAAAAATGAAATATACAGATTAGAGAAAAATATATAGGTATTCTGGTTTATATATTTTAAGTAAAAATGTCGCGTATATTTTTAAGCAAGAAGACATAAATATGAAAAGAAAATTATTATTTAATGAGAAATGAAATATGCACACATTGCTGAAGTCGTTGAAAGTTAATAATTTGGTGCGAGTTGGGAATATGAATTACTTTATGATGTAATCGTTTCCTTCGCAAAATTCAAGCGCCGTCGCTTTCCAAGAATTAGAAGTAACGATCTCGGTGCTCTTTTCAGCGTCACGTGCCTCGTGAAATTTTAAGTCCAATGCGCGAAAGGAAAACGTCCGCCTTTACGGGCCGAAATCACGCGAACAAAAGTCCATCATCGACCGTAGAATCGTCGCTGAGAAAGCCCGGGACAGGAAATGATGTTCGCCCGCGATCGCTTGAAACTTCATGAAATTCTATTTCGAAGTTGGAACTACATTCGGTCCTGAGCCTCAGTCAGTTTTGCATAAAATGATAGCATCTATATCGCTAGGGATATCACGCTCCTCCAACATTTGATGATGTTTGATTATGAAATGATTAGATATTGCTTTGTTTGTGTGAGTTTTGTTGACAATTTTCTCTTGAATGCTAAATTTCCTCGATCTCACGATCTCATTCGTAGGATGTTATAAACATGATTTCGCTAATTCACGATACGTTGTATTTTATGACATTAACAATATTCTTGTAAGTAATATAAAAACAAATTTTATTAGTTTAAATAAAATAAATAAAATTGCGATATCTTTTTTTAAACATGAAAAATATTAATATCATGCTCATGCAAATTCAATGCAAGATAATTAATTTCATGGAAACAACAAGTGATTTTTGGCGCAAATTCAATATTTAGTGGACATAGTTATAATTAATCTTATTCATGTTTAACTTGTGGGCGAGAAAAATTAGCAGATTTCAGGAGTTTGTTTTAATATATTAACTTGTGTAGTCAGTATAACATACAGTGGGCAATATAGTTCATATTTCATATTGTATCTTCCTCGCGTACACATTTTCTTCAAAATACGCAGTCACAAACTTTCTCATTAATGAGGAAATAAATGTTGCAAAACGTGGCGAAATGTTGTAAAAAATAAAGGAAGAAAATGTAAATATAGCGTGACGCGAAAATCACATGAAATAATTTATGGTCTTCTTCGTTGACGTATTCCGCGCGAAAATAAGATGAGATCGTATATAGGTAAGCTCCTAAAAGAAGCATTCTGAATGCAACTTAAACTCATGAGAATTTATCGGTATATATATTTTCGTACCGTTCCAAAACCGTGTGATCGCTGGCGGGTTTTTTTTTTTGAGCGACGGGAAAACAGAGAGTTTTAGCTCGCGACACTACAGATAACCGAGCTGTGGCCGAGACGAAGGCTGGGGAATCTGGAGCATAAACCGCGTACGTGTATCTACGTCCGGTACCTTAAGGCGCTTTCCCGCGATGTTTTACGAGCAGTCGTGTGTCATTGCTACCGGTGTCGCCCGGACAGTCTTTCCCTCACATAACGTACGTACCACGTAACAGCGTTTCACGATCGTGTTTCGTAGCGTCTTCGGTTTACCGAGTAAGGCGATGTATCAAGGAGGAACACTGGGGTTCAACTAAACGACGGCTTAAACCACCAAGAGGCTTATTCGCTCTGTTATCCATCACGCGAGTCAGATGAAAAGTATATGCAACCTTTAGCGTCCTTTATTCTTAGATTCTTGAATTGTTAAACAAATAATGTTATTTGACCCAAAATTAGATATGGATATTACATATGAGCAATACTCTTTCGTAAATCCTGCCAAATGCACTCTGTATTGGATAACACGCTGATCGGGTTTGCTT